GGGACTCGGCAGCCGCTACCACCCCTACTCCAAGAGCCCCCTGCCCACCCCCGGGGCCCCCGTGCCCGTGCCCGCCGCCACCGGACCCTACTACTCCCCTTACGCGCTCTACGGGCAGAGACTCACCACAGCCTCGGCCCTGGGGAGCCAGTGAGCACAGGCAGCGGGGCTTTGACACACAACACAACACAGAGTCTAGCGGTGAGGGAAGGAAGCCCTGCGAAACTTTATAAAAGTTGGAAAGGAAAAAAAAAATCTGACTTTTTATAAAATAGTGTTCATTTGAGGACTGGATCCATGAGCACTGTATTTATTTATGTTAGCTTCAAGCGGGACAACGAATCATAAAGTGCATTACTTAACTGAGCTCAATAGGTAAAAGTGGAACACCCATTGTAGAATATAAATAAAAAGATAGAGGTCTTCTCTTTAATGTTACTTTAAAATTGCTATGATTGTATTGTACGTTCTTATTTAATGTCTCATTGAAACAAAAAAAATTTACATGCATGTTTGTTACTAAAAAACAACTCGCAATTTGTCAGTTATAATTTCAAATTGCAATTATTTTTAAGGTGTATACCCTTGAAAGAGAATTGGTATTTTTTTGTATGTATTCTGGAAGAAAAACAAAAACAATTCTATTCCAAAAACCTCATTTGCCTTATTTTGTTCTTTAAAAGGAACACTTAACTATTTTTAATTTTTAAGTCCACCCTGTAAAAAGGGTTAAGTAAGGTTTACGTCATGTACTAAAATAGACAATGTATCGCTTTAAAGATTAAAATTCCGTATATTTGATGTATTAAAAGGTTTTACTTTTTTTTTTTTAAATACGCTTTGATTCTGTTATAAAAACCCGAGTAGGTCTTGGATGGAGGCGACTGCTAATTTCTCCTTAAGCGTTCATTCAATTTTAATTAAAAATAAAAAAAAAAACCCAAAAGTTTTTTTATTGTAACCCCAGGGCTGTCTCAAAAAAAAAAAATCAGACGGGAGTATTTTTTTTTTTTCCCCCTTCAGTAGAATTCGTAGGCACGAAATAGGAAAACTGAGAATCGGTTAAATCTCTTTCACTTTCCTAAGGAAGATTAACTTTTTTTTTAAATGTTTTTTACTGTGAAAGCCTGTTTTTTAAAACTGGGTTTCAATTAAAAGACTTCATTCTTTCTTTAGAAAGAAATGAGGAAGGCAGGACTTATTTGTAAAAGAGTAAGAAGATTATCTGAAAGCTTTTTTTACAGTGTGATGCATAACTATTCGTCTCTTTTTCTAAATGAGAAGTTCAGAAGCAATTAGGGAAGCGCTGTTTGATCTCATCCAGTTATTTTCAATTTCTTTCTTCAGTTCGTACCGCAGCACAAATGATCATCACGTTAAAAAAAAAAACAAAAAAACCCCGGACTGCTCCGAGAACTCCTTTTCTTTTAAAAAGGAAGGGAAGGGGGACAAAAAAAACCCCAGAAGTCCATCCATTATTTGGTTCGAGTTTGCTCTTTGCTGAAGCGCGGTGCCAAACTCGACGTGATGCCGAGAGGGTCTGCCCCTGCCTGCGCCGCGTCTCTGCCTCCCCAGCCCGGGCTTCCCAGGGCCGCCGCCCGGCTCCGGCTCGTCGTCCTGCACTCAGGTAGGAGCGGGGGCTGCGACGGGAAAGCCAGAGCAGCTACCGAAACCGCGGAACGCACCGTTGCCGCCGAGCTAGACGGAAAAGGGATAGCCAAGCCCGTAAGGGCAACGCCAGCGAAGGGCTTTGCTCCCGCGGTCCGCCAGGCGCTTGCAGGGAGCGGCTCAGGCGGAGCCGAGTACCTGCCGTCCCTCGCACGGCCCCTCTCCCCCCGCTGCGGGCTGCCCTCGCCCCGGCCACGCGCTGGTAGGGGGGGAAAAAGTTGCAAGCGGCGACTTTGCTTGACAAATCACTGGGTTTTCTCCCTCGTTCTGTATCCCCCACAATATAATTACTGTTCAAAGTTTCCCGTGGTGCCCAGATGCTAATTAGTCTAATATAATTACTCCAGATAATTAGTGGAAGTTAGCGTTAATGTGCAAAGGAGAGAAAAGCAGAAAGCTAATGAAGCTCCAGCGCTCGCCCGGCCGTCCCGGCACCCGGCGCGGCGCGCTTGCCGGGGCCGGGCC